AAAAATAAATTACTGTATTTTGGAGGGGAAATTGGGTTTTTAGGTTGAAGATGGTCTTATGCTTCGTTTGAGACAATTTTTTTAGTACATTTTAAAACAACTTTTTAAACTAAAAATTTTTATATTAAAAGAATATTTGAAAAAAACTTCAGAAAACTATCCCGAACGAATTCTAATTTCTCCATATTATCTCTTCATTTTTTAATTAATATTTGGGACGGCTTTTTTATGCTTTTTAAAGTTATTTTTTAGTACAAAAATTAAAATTTTTATACTAAAAATTTATTTTAAGAAACAGAAAAAAAGTCGTCCCAAACGAAGCCTTGCTTCCTTAAGGATCAGATGTTATAAGACGAGAGGGAAAGCTGTCTCTTTATTTTTTTGTGGTGAGTGATCGTACAGCGAGAGGACGATACGGAAGAGCAGTCTTCCTAAGTATTTCTTCTTTAATGGAGTTCTTTGATAGTGATCGTTTAAATGAGACCAAAGTAGTTGCTCTCAATATATTTACGTGTGAGATTGTTAGATTAGTAACTTCTTAATTAGGCTTAATCATTTTAATTAGGCTTCTCATTGCATTTGATTCGTTTGAGATGATGGTAATTTTTTGTAATTATGGAATAAAATTATTGTTGGAAAATTAATATTTTTAAAGCATACTTAAAAAATAAGCTTCTCTGTATAAAAGTTTTTTTTGAAATTAATGAAAAAATAGTATCCAAACAGAATTTATGATTGCTATCTAAAAAATAAAAAAAGTAAGAAGTTTATCCCAAATAATAATCCCAAATGCAAAAAAAATGTCATATTTTTAATGTAATTAAGCACTAATTTAGATCCTTAATAAAAAACAGAAGAGGAATGGGGATTAGGGGTGCAACCAAGTCAAGCCGGTTCGGGCTCAACTCGTTAACGGGCTCGACGAGTCGAGCTTATTGAGCTCGCGAGTCGAGCTCAAATAGAATTTCGATCTCGACGGCTTAACGAGCCCGAGTTCGAACACTTCACTGCTCGACTTGATAGCTAGTCGAGTAGCTCGCGTAAGAGGAGCGGGATTCGCCACGAGAGCGAGAGTGGGAATCAAATTTCGTTGGCGGGAGCGGGATTTGATGGTGGGAGCGGGATTCGCTGCGGGAGCGACCTTTGATGCGGGACCGGGATTTGATGATGGTAGCGGGATTCATAGCGGGAGCGGGCTTCGTCGCGGGAATCAAATTTCGTAGGGGGGAGCAGGATTCGCCGTGGGACGACGGTCGATGGAGGTCGACGTAGCTCGGCACGATGAGCGGGATTCACGGACGACACAGGAGCTTGACGAGTCGCTCGACTCGACTTGTTTCATGAGACAAGTCAAGCTTGCCAAGTCACTCGACTCAACTTGTTTCCTAAGACGAGTTGAGCTCGAGCTCGAGCTCGTTATTTGGTATTAGAGCTCGACTTGAACACCCCCTGGCTCGAGCTCGACTCTTTTGCACCCCTAATGGGGACTATTAGTATAAGGCTTCATTTGAGACAACTTTTGATCATTTTTTTGTGTGCTATTTTTAATAAATTTTTATGCTAATAAATTGTTATAGAAAGATGTCTCAAACAAAGCATATGTTTAGGTTATTTTTTTAACTTCTTTTATTTTATGATCACAACCATTGCTCTGCTTGGCTATTATTTTCTTATGAAGATACTTTTATAGTAATTTTCGAAAAAAATTATTTTGACTGCAACATTAGCTTAACAAACACCTTTATAAAAAATTATAATTACCAAAAATAGACCCTTAATCATGTTGTTCAATCTCCTTTATCAGATGGTTATCTCCTCAAATTGGTATCAAGAGGAATTTCAAGTTGAATTTCCTTTTTGTTCAGGCTTAGCTTTCTTGTAATAAATTTCAAAATCATCATCATATGAAGACCCATAACTTCGAAAAATTATTACGTGCAGTGTCCTGAGGCGTCTGAATGCTAATTCAGGCATATCACGTCACCCAATGCATAGTGCATTAGATGATATAGAGCATCCAGATTGGCTCCGAATACGTTCAGACTCCGCACAGAATAATCTCTCCATAACTTCTACTTGCTCAATTATTATTTTTTTTGTAAGGTTCTTAGACCATTGCCAATTTTCTTCACAATATATCTTCAGAGCTTAGACAGTCAAACTTGTCTAAGAGGTTGCATTGTTAGAATGTTTAGCTCTGTTATTATTTAGATCTTGTGGGCTTCTCCTCCTTTTTTTTTATTTAAAATAAATAAAATATATATTTTAAAAAATCATGCAAAATACCAAATATTTATTAATTGAAAACCCATTGACAGAATTTCTGGAAGCTTCCATATAAACAATAAAATAGCAACTTAGAATAGGAACCCATGTCACAGGCTGTAAAGGCACTTCATTAAATCAGTTGACCAGAAATAAATATTTTTGTGAATTTTGCATTCACACCTGAGTTATTTAATTATTTGTAAGAAGGCCCAGCTGGCGTCAGTTAAAAAAAAAATAATAATAAACTAAATTCATTATCATTTTATAAAATAATTAATATTTTATTTTATTTTCTTCACTGTTATTGACTCTAAAACAAGGCTAAGAGATACCACTCTTCAGAAAATTATCAAAAAATAAACTTTTCAAAGAAAACACCTTTTTTTTTTTTCAATCTTTCGGCAGTTTTGTTTGACTTCATTATATTATTATTATTTTAAAAAAATTTAAAAATAATTACAATTTTCTAAAATAGATTGAATGATTAATATTTGAGAAATTTACTCTCAAATTGAGGATCTAAGAATTAGTTTGAGTAAATTTTTATCATATTTTTTTGCTGCTTTAAAAAAAAAATAAATAATAAAAATATGTTTAGAAATTCGTAAGGACATCTCCAACAGAAAAATCTATTTTTACCTTCAAAAGACAGTAAGAATCATATCAAATAATAATGAATCTCCAACTGAATTTTATTTCTAACACAAGAAAAAAATATTTTATGTACGTTCTTTCTCATATCTATAGAACAACAATAGTGAGAATGTCATTCGGTTGCCATTCGGGTGAATAGTGCGACCCTAATATTGGAGTCTTACTGCTCACAGCATAAATAAAATACAAAAATATGTTTACATTTACCATTCGAATAGACACTCACCGAAGTTGTACATAGGTGAATGATGTTCAGTTGGTGATGTCCTAAGAAAAATGTCTCAAACTTAACCTAAATCCCATAGATACAATAATTGTAATGCTGGATATGGCCATTATGAGCTGGTTGAAGCTGAGTTCATCGGAAGAATGATTAAAGAATTAGGACAGCGCTTGTCCGGGTGATGAAGAGCCGGCTGGGCAAAGCCCAGGTCCCTAGTTCGAATCCCTTGGCAAGCAATGAAAGCTTTAACCTTAAGTGTTGGCCCGTATAAATTGGTGTGGGTTGCATGCTAGGTTGACCGGGATTTACACTGGCCTAAAAATAGTACTTTCTCGTTAAGAAAAAAAAAACTTTAAGAAACGTGGAGGTCCCCCACACTTTTTCCCACTTTTTCTCTTACCTACTTTTTTTATTTTTTATTTTTATTAGACCATATTAAAATTTTATTGTAGTGTCACATTATTTATCTCTCTTCATTGAGGGGAAGATCATTTTAATTTTTTTTTTACTTATATTTCTCTCTTTACTTCTAGATTTTTCTCATTTTAATCATTTATCTTGACATTACTAATTTTTTTAATTAAAAAGTTCATCTATTTTATTTAATTATTTAAAGTTTTTAAATTCTCTTTTATAGAAAATTTATTTAATTAAAATCAATAAATTAGACTAGAGAAAGATTAAAATATTTAAATTTAAATTAAATAGTTTAAAATATGCTTATTATATTTTTTATATTAATAAGATGCCATTTTTTATATATTTATTTATTGTTATAAATATTTTTTAAATATTTTTTATTTAAACTAGATATTCTATTGACTTTTGAACCCTTAGATGAATACGGGACATTATATGATGCTCCATTCTCCAACTATCAAATTATCTTATTGTACCATGAAATAAAAATTGTTACTAGAGAACATGTGACTCACATGATTTAAGAAAAGTAATACTATAATATCCAACTCACAGCGTAAGAGAAGTTTTATTTCTTTTAAAAAAAAGGGCACCCGGAGCTCAAGTAGAAGGCTTATTCTCCATTTTATTTAAGAGTTGTTTGGCTAGCGGTCGTGGCCGGAGGCTGGTGGAGGTGGTCAGCGCTCATTGATTGCGGTCAAGTGAGCTGGCTTGAGATGTAAATAGTTTTCGATCAAATTTAGACGGGTTTGATTTACCTAAAAAATGAATTTGAATAATTTACACTATATTTAATTTACTTTACATTTTTTTTTTTCATCCAATCAAACAACAAAATTTTTAAAACTCCTATATTTAAAAATTTTATATCGTAGTAGAATCCAACCAAATAGCCCCTAAAGCAGGGCAAATTATTGCATCCGGTCACTGGACGTGCAAAATAGGTTCGGACATCCAATAAAAACATGCCACATCACCTGTGCTTTTGACTGCGCTTTTGACTACGCTTTGACTGTGCTTTAGGTGCATTTTGACTGCGCTTTACATGCTCTTCACCTGTGCTTTTGACACGCTTAATTTAAAATAATATTTTATTAATATTTGAACCTATTTCCGTGTCCGGTGACCGGATGCAATAATTTGCCCTAAAGCAAACACCTAAATTGTCTTTTAGATTTTATTTCTTTTATTTTACATTTCTTTTTCAACAAATGAAACTAATCCCTTAAAATTCTTCTTGAATTACTCATCAATATCTAAATCTAGTATTTTTATATGAAATTTTTTTTAGAAAAGCATTATAAACTTTTTAGGGAAAATGGCTATAATAAATTAAGTATGTATAATGATTTATGAGAAATATAGTTTTTCAATGCATATTGATGATTTTTCATTAAAATAAATTTATAAGAAATTCCATAACTTAAAACAAATATCTGATAAACTCGATTCTTTCATTTGTTTACGAGTGTAAAGACATCATTATTGAACTCAAAAGAGATTTTTTAGGAAGGAGAAAGGTACTCTTATACAGAAACTTAAATGAAAAGAGGGTAACAACTAATCAAACAAATCAAAACCTTTCTCCCACCTTTGTTCTTCAATATCAGGAAATAAGAAATTGCTCAGCAAACTGGTCTCTAAAAACCTTGAGGATGTCACGAAGCACGACAATGCCGACGAGGCCATAGTCCTCCTCAACTACCCAAACATAGCCTACTCTGTGCGCCAAAGCCTGAACCATGACGGCCACCAACGAGCTTCCCGGATGGCAAACAATGGCCTCCTCCGACCTCCGGCCCATCCTCGAAGAATAGCTCCCTAACCTCCTCAATCGCCTCGGCCGCTTCCTTATCTCCCCTTCCTCGTCCGAAGAAGACGACGTCGAGGATGAAAGTACCGGCTTTGAAACAACATCCATTAGCTCAACCATCTCATGCATCCCCTTCTTCTTTAATAATGATTTCAAGGCCCGAACTGCGGCGTCAGGTGGGGAGGTGCACCAGTCAATGTAGGCCATGAAATCGCCGGCAGAGAGAACGGCGAGGGCGGCGGCGACAGACTCGTCGCAGCCGGTGAGGGTGGAAGGGGAGATCTCACCGATGAGCTTGCGGTCCTCAGTAACGACCGCGACGGATGTTTGTTCGGCAAGGGCACGGTGGATCAGGGGGAGGGCGGAGAGGGCCGGGTCGTGGTGATGAACGGCGAGAATGTCGGTGGAGCGAACAAGGCCGAGCTGGGTTACGGAGCAGGCAGCGATGGGGGAGAAGACGGAGATTGAGTTGAAGAAGAAACGGGCGAAGTCCTCCGGTGTCAGCCAGCAGAAGATGCCGGAGTGGTGGGGCTGGAGCTTCTTGCGGGACCGTATGGGAACTAATAGGATATGCGCACCTTCCAGGATCAGGTCGAGAGCATCAATAACTCTGGAAACGGAAAGCAGAGGTCAAATTTCGATCAAATATAAAAGGGTTCGAGGCAATAATTGCTTTACTCTGTTTTATTCCTCTTTTTGAAGTGAAGGATTTAATCATCGCTTAATTTTGCAAGAAATAAAAAAAAAATGCAAATTCCATTAAAGCGCATCGGAAACATTGACGATCTGAACTGATTCAGTAATTAAATATATTCTTAAACAGGCATCAAATCGGCAGCGAAATAAACAGGACTGCTGATTCAATCAAAGAAAGCCAATCAAAGCACGGCAGATCGAAGAACAAACAAGTACCTCGAATGCGACTCGACGCAGCGCACGAGGGCGGCTGCCTCCTTCGAAAGTAGAACGGAAACGGGGTTCTTGAGGGCGGCTGCCGGCGACGAGATGTTATCCTTTGCGCATAGATAGCAAAGAATATCAACCATACATAGTTTTCCAGCGCAGGATTTCGTCTCCGGCTTCGAACTATCGGAAGTCCACACGCTCACATAGGCCTCACCAGATTGACGGAGGGCGAAGAGGGCTTCGCCGACGGTGGCGGAGATCGGCAGCGATTTCAGCGCCGGCTTGCCGATGCAGAGATCGGATAGCTCATGAGACAGGAAGCTAACTGCCATACACTCGCGGAAAAAACCTAGGGCCTGCGCGAGAAGAAAATGGGGCAGTGTGAGAGAACGAAGAATGGAGGTTGAGCGAATGGAGAGAGGGTTTATTTATATTTATGGATGTATAGACCTGGGGAAGAATAACGGAGACGTCGAAGAAGACTGCAGAAATGAAATTGACTTTGGGGGTAGCTACGAAGCTCATTTTGGAGAAATTATTCTGTAGATGGGATCCATATCGTCGTTAGGAGATCAATCAGAATGTGTCACATAATCAGTATCGGGCATAAGGTAACGTGGCACATTCTGATTGGCCTCGTGACGGCGTTCGTTATTTTGAGAGAGATTATTACGTGCACAGTCCGGATTGAAGCTGCATCCAATTATTATGAATGAGCACAATAAAAACTCAATGGTGAACAGAAACTGAGCTTTTATTGTTCTCACTCATAAAAATCGGACGGTTCTCCGGTCCAGATTCCACACCTAATAATTTCTCTCATTTTGATTTGTTAGATGAGAGTTTTAGTAATCAATCATTCAATCAAAAGATTTTAGGTCAATCAAACAATTTTGGATAGGGATTTAATATAGATGATGTGTTTATGAATTTGACTTTATTGATCTAAATATTCAAAAAAAAAAAACAAAAATGGGATAGCTAGAACTCAAAATTTAACCCAATGTATTTTAGGAAAGCAAAACTGCTTGATTTTTATTTGACTGGAATTTGAAATTTGTTCTGAATCAAATCATGTTGGCTGGATATTAATTAGGATTATAGAAACATTAATATCTTTCAATTTTCTAATTTATGTAATAAATTAATATGTTCATTTTCATGTTATTAATTTGTTATGCTTGATAATTTTGATGTAGAGTCTCTTAATTATTAGGTCCTCCGACCGGACGTAAAAGAACGTCCGGTCGGCACTAAAATCCCGTCAAAAAACTCGGTATTTGCTCGGCATTTCTAGGTATTATTTGGTAAAAACGAGGAATACCGCTCTGTGAAGATCAATATCAAGTTATACCGAGCAATACCTAGTTATACAAAAAAATACCGAGTTTTTCCTAGGAAAAACTCGGTATTTTTTGTATAACTCGGTATAGCTCGGTATAACTCGGTATTGGGCCTTCACATGATGGTATTCCTCGTTATTGTTTGGTATTGCTCGAAATTTGCTCGGTATTTTATATTTTTTTTGGCGCGACTTTAGCTCCGACCGGACATAGCTCTACGTCCGGTCGGAGGACCTAATAATTGTTCCTTTAGAATAACTGTAGTACTTTATAAAATTACGTTTGAAATATTTTAGCAAAAGCAACTTAACTGTTTTGGTTCTAAAAAATAGCTTTTTCACCACTGGATTTTTTAAAAGAAGTGAAAAAGCAGCAAGAACACAATAGTCAAATAAAGGCTTCATTTGGGATGACTTTCTTACTGCTTCTTTAGCAGTTTTTTAATATAAAATTTTAATTTTTAACTGAAAAACTGTTTTAAGAAGAAGAAAGAAATTCATCTCAAATGAAGTCAAAATTATGATTATTATCTGAAAAAGTAAAGTAGTGAGAAAATTATTCCAAATAAACCCTTGGTTCAAAAGTTTGGAAATTAGTTCACGTCAATGTCGCTCGCTGACCCCACGAAACCTTTCATATATAAGAGATTATTTTAATGATATCAAATATATGCTTGGAGATACTACTTTCTAAACTCAATAATGCACTACTAGAACTTTGCACTTATTTTGATGCAAGATGTTAGCTCAATTGGATAATGAAGAAAGCCAAGGACAAAATCAAGAACATGGCATGAGGAACATTTGGAGGTCAAGAAATAATGCTAAAAGATTGATCTTTTACCTCAAGCTCTCAACAGATATCAATTTAATAAATATCTTAAATTGGTATAAAAAATATTTTTTATTATTCAAATTTCATAAACAAATTTTAAATAAATTTCAGCAAAAAATCTCCTCCCAAATTATTCAACTAATTTTATTATTTTGTCATCATGTTGCTAATATTTTCTTAATCATGTTTTTTAGTAATACAACATATAAAAATCTAATTTTTATAAATTATTTTAGATTATAATTTTATTAACATATATATATATATATAGTGTTGGAAAATTTGAGGCGTTAGAGAGGTAGTGTTTAATATCTTAGCTTTATATAAAAATCAAGAGAGCATAGATAGAAATTATAAGATACATTATAATTTTAGTCTATTATATAATTAAAGATGTAAGAGCTAAATCTACTTTATGATTGAAAAAAATGGGATTATAAAATTGAGGAAAATTGTCTATTCTCAATGAATGGATCACAAAAGAAATAATAGAGAGCGGAGACAATTATACAATGTCAATCAACTCATAATAATTTTAGAGGTCTGGTTTGTACATTTAGAAAATCGAAGTCAAATAATATGGCTGAATGTCAGCTGTTACACAACGATAGTCGCGATTGTTGATTGTGATGGTTGTCGACGACAATTATCGAGTAATATGATAGAGTTCTTCAAATCTCTTAACTCTATAATCTCTCTTCAGAAAATAGAGTACTATTTGTAACTTTTTGTGAGGGATTTTAGCAACACTATTGAATGAATTATATTAATCCCCTAAATCATAGATGTATTCGGCATTTGAATATTTAAATAACCTTGAAATCGAATGATATTAACACTGTTGGATTTGCCTCATCAATCCATCAGATTTGATTATAAGCACAAGATTTAAAAACCAGTTCGTCCTTTCAATTAATTTCTTATACCGTTTAAATAAGTCTCAATTGCGCCATTTGAGTTCATTTGGGCCTAGATTGAATCACTTGAGACAGATCAATTTTAGGTTTGTTGAAATCAAAATTTAGATGATCATAAATTTATTTCTAAAGATTTCACTTCAAATAATATTTTGAAATTAATGATCATCTAGTGAATATTTTTGGTGAGATAATATATATAAATATATTGATTAAAACAACCATAAAATTACAAGTATGCCACTCAAAAGTCACCTCAAGTCAAGCACCCACAGAACTCAAATGAGCGTGCCAGCTTGCACGCACACTTGTCTTGGCTTATAGAATTACTGTAACTAGCTTGTCACAATGGTTTTGTGGCTAGCTGCATGGTAAACCTGATCTGCTGTTTTAATAGCTAATTAATATAGAAATTATAAGCTTTTTGGATAGCCAGTCTTGTCTTATGCTTTATAAAGGTCCAAAATCAAATCAAACCATTAAGAAAGCAGTTTTTTAGTACAAAAAATTTTTAAAACAATTTTATAGTATGACATTCAGATGATTCTTCCTAGTATTGCTTTATAAAACAATTTTTTAGTTATTATAAATCAAACTAGTAAGAAAGCAGTAACAAATGAGTAAGAAAGAAATAAGAAAATTTGTACTAGAAATTTGCTTTAGAAAACACTAACAAAATTGTGCCAAAAGAAGCATTAGTCATGCAATATTAGGATTATTTTAAAGCTAAAGTGATATTATCCATACGGAGTATTCCACTTTACAAATATCACATTATAGTTGAAAAAAAAGCTAATTAAAAAAATTAAGTGTTGTTTGAAATAAGAACGTGTTTTCTCCTTGGCATATGTGGTAGCCCTCTGCTAGGTTTTTTTTTCTCCTTGGCGACTGGTTACCACCACCCACTTCCCACCTCCCCCGGCTTTGCCGGAGGACTCTCCTCCCTCTTCATGGATCCTCATACTTTCTCCTCTGATTTTCCCCCACTTTCCTCTTCTGTGGTGGGGGCTTGCCCTTCAACTCATCGTAACTGGTTGAGCATCTTCGATCCCTCCGAATCCCTGTCCGAAAATATACCCCTCTCATTTTTCCCTTCCGAACCTGAAATAATACCTTTTTATGGGGAAAAGTTGTCCAAAGGAGCTCAAGATTAGAGTTTATGCTTGGTTGGTTATTCCATCGGAAGGAGGCCGTTCTATGAAGCTCTGCTTGGTTCCATGCGAAAAACCTAGTCGCTCAAAGGTGTGTTCCTACTTTTATCCTTACGTGATGGTTTTTTCCTGTTGAGTTTCTCTTCCATGGAGGATTTTGAAATGGTGTGGTCAAAGGAGGTCTTGTTTCTACTTGTCTCTCTTCAAAACGACTGATTTCAGCTTTATAATACTCAGATCGGCCCGGCCGATCGCCAGATCGTCCCGGGACGATCAGACCAAAATTCGATCGTCCCGATCGCCCTGGACGATTCCCAGAACTATGCTCAGGCCGATATTTTCTACAGTGCCGATCGGCCTGGACGATGTGTACAAAAAATCACCTGGAGCAAAACTGGGCAAAATCTGGAGCAAACTTTCCACTGATCGTCCCAGGACGATCCAGATCGTCCTGGACGATCCTGGAGCAGATTTTTGATATTACAACACGTCTTACTTTCGTAAGAGTTTGTGTTCAAGTGGACTGTGAGGCCAAATATCCTGAAGAAATTTTCATATCGTTGGATGGTGATGTATTCGGTTTGAAGGTTCAATACGAATGGCGTCCAACCTCTTGTGAGTTCTATAAGTCTCTGATCCACTACTCATATCTATGCCCTCTAAAGCCCGCTGAGCCATTCGATCAGGTTGTGAATCCTACTGCTTCTGTTAGGGGAAGAGATGCTAGTAGGAAATTGAGGTCTCGACCACCCTCACAAATCCATCCAGTGATTGATAAACAACATACTGGTCACAATCACCTAGATCAGTCTTCATCCACCGCCATTATCACTAACACTATGAACCCCTTGTCAACAATCCCTGCCTCGAACCATCCTCTTGAACTGCAACCACACCTAACCTCAACTATCAAGGACACCACTTCTCCCTCCTCACAAGCTATTACCAATCCTCAAATCCCAAAACCTCAAACTTCTAAGACCATTTCTGAACCGCATGTTTCCCAGAATACTGCCTTCTCCAATCCCATTATACCAAACCTTAACTCTCCCACTAAAGATGACTCTTCATCAACCAGCAATACCCATATTCTATTCTCTTCTTCTTGCTTCTTGCTTCTTGCTTGGGTCCTCTCTCATGAGAAATGAGAGATATGTTTATAGATTTTTTGGAGTGGCATAGCTTGTAAATAGGTGTGAGAGCAGGGGAAAATAGGGAGTGGTCGAATGGACGGTTGATAT